TGGGCTCCAGGCAGCGATGTCCTCCAGGGCAGAGACTGTGTCATTGCACCTCTTGCCCCAGCTCCTGCCTGTAAGTGGGACTGAGCACATCCTGAGCAACTGAGAAATACAGGTCAGCTTGTCTGGCACTGGTATGGTCAGGGGATCCTGAGGAATTAGGGGCTGGCTAAATACCAGAGGCCACGGAATATAGGCTCCAGGGCTGCAGTCTGCTTGGCAATAACTCTAGTCAACATTTCCCAGAGATTGTTCTCATAATACATGGCAGCATGCCCGAGCCAGGCTCTGACTAGTTCCTAAAACAAGTTAAATCTTTCCTTTTGGGACAATTCCATCAGCGGGGCTGATGAGCATACTTCTCTGACAACTGTGGCTTTCAAGGTCCCGACTGTTGGGCCATTTCCCACGTGGTTCTTCACGGCCCCTAGCCACAGCCCTATTATGCTTGGCTGGGCTTCTGGCTAGTGAGGAGATGAGCTCTGTCTTCCCAGATCATGGGGTGGAAGGGAATTGCATCCACACCCCCGCCCACAGCCGCCTGTGCACGACTGTGATGGAAATTAGCTCCTCATCCAACAGATCTCAGTGGAGATTGGAAAGTGCTTGTCAGAGAAGGGAGTTGTGTCATTATGGGTAAATGGATGGGAGACAGGATGCAAATGAGGCTACAGTCTTCCCATAACCCTTGCTTTTCATCTCAGTGGGAAGGCAATGCCAGCTGCACAGAGCCTGGGCACTATCTGCATTGGATAGACCAAGTTTCATGAGATGAGGGTCACAGAGGCAGATCCTAAGGTGGTTGGTCAATGGAAAGCAGGAATACCTGCAGATATTCACAGTCCCAGGCAGTCCCTATCTGCAGAATGGTGCATTTGAGCCCTTCACATTCTCGTCAACACACCTGGGGCATGAGCATGATTTCTGGCACTTGCATTTGTGAATTAGCTTCAACCTGAGTTATCTCAACCATCTCCGCCCTGAACGTGATCCATGGGGAGCCTGAGATCTGAACCTCGTGAATCCTTCCTGCTGAATCCTTCGACTAGGGGACATACAAAGGTCTCCCTGCAGTATGTATGTATGAAGGGAGCTCAGATTTAACTCTAGCACTGAAAATGAAAGCACCAATTCAGTGCGGAAAGAGCACCGAATCAGGGCGCCGAGTCCAACTCTACCCAGCTCTGTGAACTTGGGCTAATCATGTCACTTTCATTCATTTTGTTCCTAAAATTCATTTTTAAAGATTAACATATTGTTTAAATAAGTGTGATGAATTATTTTATGTGCTTTATAAATATTAACTCATTTAATCTTTGTAATAACCCACAGCATAGGTGTAATTATTAAACTCATTTTATAGATAAGGAAAATGAAGGAGAGAAATTTTAAGTAACTTGCCCAAGTTCACAAGGCTAATGAATGGTGGAGTAAGTCTGAGCTTTCCTGGATCCTAGGATCCTCATCTGTGAAATGGGGAAAAAACTGTTGTTAGTTTGCCCATCTCAGCATTTAGCTCCTTGGCTCCCACGGAGTCTCCTTGTGCTCTGTGATTATTGGAATGAAATCCCCTTAAAATGTAAATGGGAAGAGGGCTTGGTTCTGTACTTTGTTCATAGATTATTAGCACTAATGAGCAGCAGAGTCCCGGATGTGCACTAGGCTCTGAGTAGATGTATGAATGAATGAATGGACACCCATCATTCTGTGCTGTGGTAAGAGGGACCCACTTTTCCCCAAATATGGCTTTTTGAAGGCATGGACTGTGTCTTATTTATCTCTGAGTCTCTGGATCCCAGCATATTCCTGGCAGAGGTAGATGCTCACACTGACTGAATAAAACCACATTATTGCCCTTTGCCTTAGGTCGGAAGTCACCTCTTAGACGGGAAGGCATAAGCGCACTTAAATGCCATAAGCTAACGAACATTGACATCTGTGAGGGTGACAATAATCTTTTGTGGTGAAAAAAGATAAGGTGGAGGAACTAGATTCTTTCAGTTACTGGGTAACAAACTACGCCAAAGCATAGTGGTTTAAAACAACAATGGTTTATTATGTCTCTGAAGAGTGGGCAGTTTTCTGCTCTGTGCGGTGAAGCCAAGGTTAGCCAAGGAGCTGCGTTCAGCTGGGAGCTCGCCCGGGATTGGAACATCCCAGGTGGCGTCTCATCCTCCCGTGTGGCTTCTCATCATTGCAGTCCAGCCTGAGCTTCTCTGCAGCCTAATAGTGGACGCCTAAGGAGCAGGAGATGGAGCTCTGCACACTCCCAAGAGCAGGCTCAGGAGTCCTAGGACATCATCTCCCTCACAGTCGTTTGAGCAAAGTTAATCCCAAGGCCAGACCAGATTTAAGCTGAGGGGAAGTGGACTCCATGTCTTGCCGAGGAGCAGAACGTATGTACAGAGATGGGAGAAACTGTTGGCGGCTGTGAGACTGTCCACCGTGGGGGGTTTGGGGTTGAGGAGTGCTGACAGGATCCCTGAATTTTCTTCATGCGAATGAGCAGCTGTTAAAGGTTAGGCTGTGGTTTGTCTTCCAGGAAGTAGCTGGTTTCCTGCTCAGGTGATACCCTGGGATGTTAAAACTTCCCACCCTGTCCTGGGAGGTCTGAACTGACCAGGCTCTTGGAAAATGTCAAGATTTTTCCTCTCCTTTTTCAGGTGACAAAACAGAGGCATGGAGAGAAGTGACATATGCACAGCATACTGTATGTCAGTGGCAGGATGAGGGACACTATTAGCATTGGTTAAGAATGTGGATGTTGGGTTCACACTTTTCATATAATCCTGCTGGGCCTCGACCTCCTTCTTTGTTTGATGTGGATAATAATGCCTACTTTACAGGGCAGAATAGATAGTGGCGAATGGCGTGAGTTCTGGAGCCAGACTGCCTGAGTTCAAATCCTGGTTCTTCCATTTATCATCTGTATTACCTTGGGATAAATACTTAATTGCCTTATGCCTCAGTTTCCTCTTCTGTAAAATGGGGATAATAATAATACCTATTGTATAGAGTTGTTTTGAGGATCCAATGTGTTTAAACCTATAGAAGCACCTAGAACAATGCCTGGCACATGATTCACAATCAATGGGTATCATCTATAGTTCTTAGAGTGTTTTATGAAAACTAAAATGAGATAATACTTGCAAAAGCTTAGTACATGCATTGCCTATAGTAAGTGGTAGCTATTATTGGTGGGCAAATGGGCCCTTTGTCCATTTCCCTTCTTAACATGCTCACACTTGGGGAACTTTGGAGCAAACAATCCCAACTTTCCAACTTTATTATTCTGCAAGCAATAAGTGTTTTATCTGATTTGTTAGTTTGCTGTTCACTATGTGGCTGTTTACTACTGGGCACAGAGACTGCCCCTCAAACAGGAATAGGCTTTACTTCCTTCTCCTCCCTGCATGTGCCCACTTCCTGCCCCTATGTGGGAAGTACACTCCAGGAGTCGTCCCGCTGGGTTGGGCATACCTGTTTCTCCTTCTCAGCCTCACCTCTGACTAGGTAGACAAGTCCCAGATACACCTGGGATTCTAACCCTGCTTCAGTCACTACTGGTTTGTTATAACCGTATCTCAGTGTCCTCACCTGTATAATGGGAATAACAACAGTGCCTGCCTTGTAGATTTACTAAAACAATTACATGATGTGCTGTATATGAGAAGGGCTTATGCAATGCCTGCCACATAGCAAGTGGTCAACAGTTGTTAACAGATTATGGTTGTTGTTATTGTTATGTATGTTCCAAGGCCCAGCTAAAATGCTCCCTCCTCCAGGAAGCCTTCCCGAGCTTCTCCAGGTGGAAGTTAGCATTTTCCACCCTTGTACTTTTCTCTCACCCTTTTTCCAGCTTGTGATATCATGTTTCTCTTCTAGCATGAGAGTCATTGGGAAATGAGTCTTCTCCATGGTAAACTTAGAGATTTTTTGTGTTGGAATTTGTCCTTGTGCTCCACTGGTCTGCCCCAGGTCTTGTTACAGAGCAGGTGCTTAAGCAGTGTTCAGGGCAAGTATCCATTATATCATTTGCAACATATATATATATATATATACACACATATACATATACATATATACACACACACATATACATACACATGTGTGTGTGTGCATTAGCTGCTATAATGTATATATAGAACCTACTATGTGTTAGGCTGAGTTCTAGGGGCTAGAATGAACCATTCCTTCCCCATCTTCTACCAAGGTAACAGCCCTTCCTTAGCTCACACAACCCTTTAGGCTGCCTTTTTGTGATTCCTGCTCAGCCTGTTTCTTTCATGTCTTTCTTGACTTCACTTGCAGTGAACTGTTGGGGGTGGGGGAGGGCTGGGGAAGCGGTGCCCCTCCAGGCAGGAGGGAGCACTCAAGCATCTCAGAGCTGTGGAGCCCTGGGCCCCTCAGCACACTGAGCCTCATTGCCCTCCTCTGTAAAATGGGAATATAGTGAATAATATTGTGATATCTTTGTATGGTGACAGACAGCAACTACAGTTATCATGGTATGCATTTAGCAAAGTAAATAATCATCGAATCACTATGTTGTTTATCTGAAACCAATATACTATTGCTTATCAACTGTATTTCAATAAAAATAAATGCAACTCACACTGTTTCTCTCTCAGTGTTGTCTGGAGTAAACAGGATCACATGTGCCAAAGTGCCTGGCAGTCAGCAGGTTCTTCCCAAATGTAATTACTCTCCCCTGGCTGGGCACCGTCCTGAGGCCCTGAAGTTTCCTGCAGGCGTCACAGGTGTCCTCCCGGGAGGTGCCCTCCTGAGGACCTACCTCAGGCTTTTCTTCTCTCCTTCGGAGAGCAAGTTGCCAGTTACATCAGGGCTCAGCAGGAGAAGAAAGACCCCAAGGCCAGCTTCCGTGGGAGGGGCAGGGGCAGAGCAAGGAGCCCTCGTGCTCTTGAGAGAAGGATACAAAGAGCTTTTCCCTTTCTGGATATTTAAAAGAGAGAATGCGTTCCCTGCAGTGCTCATGCGGCAGGGAAAAGGGACTTGTGAGGGGTACACAGTAGACTCAGACCTGATTCGGTGTGCCTGTCGTCTTCTGCCCAGGGAAATAACAGACAATGAGAAAACAAACAAGCAGGATCATACTTTCGGAGCTCGGCATAGGGCCTCTGGCCGCGGGTCAGGACCTGGTTTTGGCATCCGCCTGTATCCAAGAAGTTGTGTAGGCAGGGCCTTCAACAATGACACTGTGCGGTGGTGAGAACCCGTGGTGGAGACCATCTGCAGCAGGGAATCCGTGGCAGCTGTAAATGCAACAGACTCCAGTCCCTCTCTGCCCGGTGTCTGGGAGGACTCATTTTTGTTTGGACTTGGCCTGTCCCCAGGGCTTTGGGACAGTTTGTGGGGAAGGGAAGCAACCTCCAGAGGGACATGCTGGACTTTCTGCTTTTCATGTAGCTGTGTGCTTAAGAGATTAATTGGAAAAATAAGTGGAATGTGACCATATTTGTGCTGTGAATTTATGGAGCCGTTCATACCAGTTACAATAATTCTCCCAGAGGGCATTGTGAAATGCTAAGAAAGATTTGGTCTTAATTAACTTTTGTTTTTGGGATTACAGGATGAATAGTTCTTTTGAGGGCAGGAGGTAGTCTGCTTCCTGGGCATGGAGTTGCTGAAGAAAAAGGTCAGAAGGCTTTCAGTCTGGGTCATAGTGTCTGTCAAAGGGGGCAGTGAGAGAAGATGGAAATACAGGTTACTTCGGGACTGTGGGAATCCTGGGGTGCCTCCCTAAGGGGTCTGGGTAGCCCTTGGCACTTTGGAGGAGCAAGTCGATTGGCTGTAACTCTGAAGGGTATGGGGATGGCACTTACTGTGTCTCTTGAGGGCTGACACCATCTCTAAATGGCTGACCACTTGGGCCTCCCATGCTCAGACCTCAAACTCCTTATCCATGGTCCGTTCTCAAAAAACAGCCAACGCGGCAGCTCCGGGTGGCCAGGATTGCAACACCAAATGTGTTTGTTCCCCATGTTTGTGAAATACCTCAGAGGCACTGTTCCAGTCCCACCTGACTAGTTTTCTGATTGCCACATGGCCCTGGCTCTATCTGCCAATACTCAGCCGGGGCTGACTGGTCAGAGATTTTGAGATGTTTGTGGGTTCACAACTTAAGAGACATCATTTCTTTCTGCCTGAGAGAGGAGATTTTACCTTCCTGAAGTCCCCAAATATCACCTGTTGGGCTTGGAGGCACCTCTGGGGCCTTGGAGTAGAGTAGTGTGACCTTGGACCAGTCACTTGACTTACCCAAGTTTTCATGTCTTTAACTGTGTGATGATGAGAATAATAATTACTATTATGGCAAGATTGTGACCTGCAAGTATAGCACCAGATGGAAGGTCAGGTAGCACCTCACTCACCAGGCTTCCCTCCTCTAAAGGTCCTTCAAAGCAAAGTTGACCTCAACTTTCTGAGTCGTTAAAATTCAATCTTGCATTTAATTCTTGCAAATGACTTATTGTCAATCTTTGACTGGAAGTAGGAAGAAGAGGCCTGGCTAATATATAACATAATGGGAACTCAGAAGCCCCTAGAAACTGGCTAGTGATACACAGCCCAAGGAAGAGGCATATGAACTTAAGCATCATTCCCTTCATGAACCCCCTCCGATCAAGGGGAAAAACCCTGAAGTTAGGGGGAGAAGGGCTAACAGTTATTGGGCTTCTGTTAATGTGCCAAACACTGAGAGTAAGAACATACTTTTGGATGTATTTTCCCATTTTGTTATCTCCTCAACCTTAAGAAATAGGCAGAATTATCCCCAAATAAAAAAATTACTCTTTTGATAAATATTTACTGAGTGATTATTATGTACCAAGCATTGCTCTAGGAAGTAGAACATAAGAAAACAGGCCCAGAGTTTCATGGCCATATGATATAACTTGCTCAAGGCCACACAGCTGGAAAGAGGACATCGTACCTCTTCTGAGGCTTATTCCTGGGTTGTTTCCATCCTGGGATGTTGCATGGACACAGACACAAATATGCACACGTACGTACACATATGCAAATACACCCACACTCACACATACACAAACAAGCATGCACACTCACACAGTGAGCAAACACACACGTGCTCAATCATGCATTTGTGTTCAAGCACAAGCACACACCCACATGCACAAATACACCCACAGGCACAGGTATGCACGAGCGCGCACACACACACACACACACACATCATTTGAGTACACAAACATGGGTACATGTACTTGCACAAATATTCACACACAGCATTCCATTGATTGGGAAGAATTTTTTTGAACTATTGTAATCTCTCAATATTTCAGATCAGTAACATCATGAATATAATTGCCAAGATTTCATTCTTTTTGCTTCCCTTTCTCCAGCCCTCCTTTTTTTGCCCCTCCCTCCTTTTTCGCCTCTGCCTCCCCATTCTGTGACCAGATCTCTGTTCCTGCTTTTTTTTTTAGCTCTGGAGTCTTAGAGAATTATTAGACTATGGGGCTCAGGTTGGAACACTGAACCAGAAAGCCAAGGCTCTCTAAAGGCCACCAAATGCTGCATCTTGCCAAGTCCTGCCTTGGTTGGGCTTTCCCCAGTGCAGACACACGAAACCCCTGATGCCCCCTTCCCATTACCATCTCTGCCTCTCTGCCACCAGGCCTGGCACCCTCAAATTCAACTCAAGACCTTGCTGCCTGGTGTCCTCAGCCCCAGCACCCTCCTCCCCCGCTCTTACATGCATGTGCCAAACGCCTGGGAAGGCCTCTTCCAAGTGTTTCATCACGCCTCAGGGTGGGGATGCATCTATTTTTGTTTCAACACTTTGCTTCCACCTGGCATTTCATTTGCCAGCTAATAGGTGAAGTAACTCATCCCAACACTGGTGGCATTGAAGGAGGGGAACTGTGCTCTGGTCTGTAAAGTGTTGGTGGGGGCACAGCAAGCATGGTCTTTAGTGACCACCTGGGAGGTAGGCTGGAATGCTGGGTATTAGCTCAGCTCAGCCGTGTAGGTAATTCAAACTCTTCAGAATATTTCATCATCCAGGCAGCTCAAGGTGGGGGTGGGGGGTAGAATTTGAGAAACTCTGGCAACTCCAGTATCTCAGTCCCCAAAGAGTGCCAACAGAGGTCACCTTACTCAACTCATGTGTTTCCTTGTGGTAGCAGAGATCTCTCTCTCTAAAACACTTTTGGCTTTACCATTAAAAGATCTTGAAAGTGTGCTTAGGGATTCTAACAACTTGGTGAAATCTTTGGACCCCAGGGTCCCGCACTCACCCTCTCCAAGACTATTTGGCCATGTTGCATAATTGCATGAGTTTGCTTTAGGCAGGCTGTTGAGTTCAAGCACTGATAGCCAAGTCTTGGGCAGAGGAGAGAGCATATTCTGCAGACAGCCCACAATGGCTGTAGCAACCTGCACTTTGGGGAAACCTCACTCTAGCATAAACACACACACACACACACACACACACACTCCACTGGAGAAAATGAAATGGGAACATGGACATGGGCAATCTAGAGTGGATGTGCTCTGGAACAGAACGCCATGTAGTGAGAAAGGGAACTGAACACACAGGTGCTCATGCATGTAGGGCCAGACTTTAGGATTATTCAATGATAAAGAAATGGAGTTCTGGGGGTGGGGTTCTCTTGGGCACTTAGCTGATAGTCTTATATGGTGATTGCTTAAGATCAGGTCATATTTTATAACTAAACCATAATCTCTCAGCGCTAGACTCTTAGCTTAGAGTCAGGGCTCAAGCATATTTTTCCTCCCCTGTCCCACCTAACTCCGACCCTTATGGGTAGAAAATGTTCAATCATTGCAGAGAGGAAAGGAGGTTAGACTATATTCACATGACACTATGTCATGTTCAAAACCCTTTATGGTGAGTCAGCTCCTTCTGGTGGCTGAGCTCACTTGCAGGCATGTGAACCCCTCACCTCCCCTATTTGCAGCCCATTTTTGTGTTTAACAATGTCAGGCCTTGGTGAGCTGTCTTCTTGCTGGGGAGACAAGATTTACACACACAGAGCAGAGTATAATCACAGGCTGTAGTATACTTACTGAAGCATTGTAACGTGCAGACAACATGTCCTATGGCAGCCATGAGAGGAATGTCCCCTTGTGTTACAGACACCAGGGAGGTGTTCCCTGAGCAAGTGGGACTAAGGGGGCTTGGGAGTAAGAAGAGAGGAGGGGGTACAGGTGAGAGGAAAGACAGAAGTTAACACAGTACAGAGCTTGTGTACACACTCATTTGCTCATTCTTTCTCTTGTTTACACATTCATTCACCCAAAAAATACTTTATGAGCCCTGCTGTGTGCCAAGCACTGTTCCCGCCGTGGGGAGCAGAGCAGTGAACAAGTCTGGTTTATAAAGTTGTGCAGGAGCCAGATAGTGAACAAATATTACAAGCAAGAAAAGCATTAGCTGGAAAAGAAGGGTGTCATGGGGCTATTGAGCAGGCAGGGGGCGGGAGGAGGGTCAGTGAGGGCTGGACCCTAAAGGATAAGGGGTGTCAGTCTGGAAATGGGACAGGGGAGGATGGGAGGGATGGCAAGAAGTATTACAAGCATGAAATTCTGGGGACAGAAAGAGTCAGGCTTTTGCAAGAGCACAAGCTGCTTGAAGAAGTCTTGCGTGGCCCGAGTGTGGGGAGTCTGGAGATGCGAAGGTAGGGCAGAGGCAGGAGTGACTGAGCAGGACAGGGGTGGGAGGGTGAGGAGACGGGGCGGGTAAGGCCAGGGAGAGGGCAGGCAGAACCTTCTGGGCTATGGTAAGGATTTTGTTCTTCATCTAAAATAGTCTAAGCAAGAGATGCAAAGGACTTGAATTAGGGTGAGGATAGTGTGAGTAAATGTGCGGCAGTTTGGTGAATTTTTTAGCAGGGGAATGTCCTACTCACCAGATTTTCTGTAAGGTTTTTTCTAGCTCTGCCCTTTATTGATTGCATTCTGTGCTGACTCTGGGTGCTTGTGCAGGAGGCCAGGGCTCCCCTGGGAGCCCTCCCTGCTCTGGGCAGACCTCCAGGCACCCATTGCATCTGCTTCCTCCCATAGCCTGTGGCAAGTGGTCCATGTCCTCAGCCTGCCCCCTCCTCCTTACTCCATCACTTTACCCCAAGGAACCTGCTGTTCCCCTTCCCTCTCCTCTGCTAAAACTTCCTGCTTCCATCCTCAATCAAACCCCTTATTTTTGCATTAAGAGCCAGGGCTCCTCTGACCCTGCTTCTCCTCTTACTAGCTTGGCAGCCTGGGTGTTTTCAACCTCAGTGTCTTCAGTAGAGGAAGAGGACGATAACTGTGCCTCCTAGGGCTATGTGAGGTCTGTACCATCTAACTCGGATCCTTATGGATTGAAAATGTTCAATCATTGCAGGAAAGGAAACGAGGCTAGACTATATTTATATGACACCATGTCATGTTCCAAACCCTTTAGGGTGCGTAGGAAAGCACCTCACCCTGGCGTGGCTCAGGGTTGGCTCTGTCACTCTAGTCATGACCTACCAGGCGCTTCACAATCTGCCTCTCATTCCACATTATTCCCATTTCTACTGTCCTCTCCTTTCCCTCCTACCCAACAACGTCAGGTAACTCCTCATGCCTGAGCACACCGATCTCTTTCTTCCCAGCACACTGCTTGTTCTGTTCCCTCTGCCTGCCATGCCCTTCCTTCCCTAAGCAGCCGGAGGCCTGGCTCATGTTTCGTTTACCCAGAGAAGCCTTCCCTATGGGTAGACAGCGTGCACCTGACAGCCCGACTGTAAGGCAGGTTGAACTCTGCCTTCTAGCGCATCTCCTTGGTGCTTGGGGCACCGCTTTGTTACAGTCCACATTGGTGTGTGTTTCTGTGGGTATCGGGGTCAATCTCTGCTCTCAGGTGTGTTTCCTGCAGGCAGGGACATGTGTTATTCACTGTGCCATTCTGAGGACTCGGCACAGGGCTGGGTCCATGG